TTGGCTCTGTGTTGTGTTGATGAATATCCCAGAGGGCGTCAGTTTTTCAAGATATTTGAACAGTAAGAATGAATCGACTTGTTTTGAATCTGTTTACTCTGGTGATTCAAAAAAGCCTTCACCCATTGGCTATATTCAGGCCACGCTAATCCTCGTCATGCTGGCTGTCAACATTGGATGCACTGCCAAGGTATTTTGGACCCTTTGCCATCAACTCAGTGACTCTATGAACGTGAACAGCAAGATGAAGGTGATGGTGCTTTTTGCTCTGAACTTGGTCATGTTTATCATATGCTTTGCGCCCGTGTCAGTCATCCCATTAATACAACTTACTAATTCTGATATCACACCTGTGGTATGTCTCGCTACTGTGAACTGCTGCTTGGATCCACTGTGTTATTACTTCTCCCTTGATGCCTTCTGGAAGAAAAGTGAGCAAGATGACGTGAAAATTGAAATTAGGACACATGAAACGGAGTGAGGTTCATCATGCTTTACCTTTTTTGTTGTTTTTGCTGAGTGTTTGTTGGGACTATTTGTTTCCTTTTATATAACCTTTTGTTTTGTTTTTTCCTCTCTGAAAGTAGGACCCAAATAGAGCTGCGCTTTTAGAGGTGTGTTTTATGTTATAGCAGCAGAGCCGTAATGTAGCTTTCTTAGATGATGTCAGATTTAAGCCAGTCTGCAAAACCATTACAGAACTTGTAGTTTCCTTCCAGTCGGTTTTTGTTTTGGTTTGTAAATCAATGTCTAGACTCTCAAAGCTCACCAGCTTTTGAGAGGCTAGACCCGTTTTAATAATAACTCAGAATTCATGAAAATTACACTGGTCAAATGTTTACCAATATAGACAATTCAAATACCAAATACATTTTATGGACATAGCCAGAACCAAAGCACAATTAACACAGATATAGCAGCATGTCAAAATGTAAACTTGACAAAGCAGCCACAACAAGCAAGCATGTCTTTATTACTGCTGTTTGAAAAATACCTATTATTTTTGAGAATAAAAAAAACTACTTTGAGTAATGTTTGAAATGATCCAGTTTGGGCTGTGTTTAATACTTACCCAATTATTAAATGTATATATTCAGAAACTAGAAGGTGTTAGCTTTCAAATAATGTATCACACGTGTAATTTGGGCTTACAGTTCCAAAGTTATTTGCTTTTCCTTTTGGGTATGCAAAATAGGTGAGAATTTCCCAAAATGAGGTGGATGTGACATGAAAATGAAAATAAGACCTAAACAACCAGTTAAATAAACCACTCTTTCTACAAAGAAAATGACATTATTACAGATTAACATGATGTCAGTAGCAGATGGTAAAGTTTTGAATGACATAAATGTGCTACCAGTCTCAACTCAGTTGTTCTTCTCTTGATCATCTTACCAGACCTTCACTCTAGTTCAGTCTTAATCCCACAAAAACCCCACATAAACCAACAGAGCAAAACTGACACAGATATTTTATTTTCTGCAAAATGCAGCTTGATTCTTTGATTAGGTTGAGTCCCATTAGATTTAAGAAATGAGTGTAATGCCAGAACCACCCTCTAGATTAAGGGGCAACAGTGTATGCCCACCCACAGCAGACTGTAAGAATACTTTATTTATTTTTTTATTTTTTTACAGATTTGAAACAATCCAAAACAAATGGTTACAAGCTTAGCAGAATGCACCACTGAATCTCGGAACAAATGTTGGTTAGTTGGTTTCAACACGGTGAGTGAAAACAGAAAAATAACAACCGCACTTGCTGCAAACCATCAAGTAAAGGAAAGTAAAGTAAAGTTCCAGCTAAAATCTGTTGCAATCAGATGCAAGAAAGAAGCTTTAGAGAGTCTAAGAATGATAAAATAAGGGTAGATTAAATATTATTCATAGGTGGGTCCATGCATATCCTTCTGAGAAAGAGGTGGCCCCGATAAGCTGTAGGAAAGCTAACGGATACGAAGCTGATCGTTTGGAAAATGTTCTGCTGAGAAACGTTTAATCCCATTACCTGAAAGATTACTTTGACAGATTCAATCAGCATAAATGTTAAAGGTTTAGCAAGTACACTGCTTTATAGAAACAGCATTTTATTACATTAACGCGCAGCCTACTATGTATATACTGTGTATATGACTATAGATCCTGTATTCTGTATATATATATATATATAATGGTCTGCACCATCAACACCAAATCAAATTCCTTGTAAGGGCAAACCTACTTAGCAATAAACCTGATCCTGCTTCTGATTATGGCCTAATCACAAACAATAGAATTAAGGTCTGTCACATTGGACACCATATTCTTCATATAATCAACACAAAAAAAGGGATTTTTTAGTCGCAGCAGATTTTTTTTTTTTTTTTTTGCAGGATTCATGCTGGATGCCTCCTTGCTAATACTAATATCATGCTAAGAAGGTGTATATTATGGGCTTAGAAAAGGGACTAGATAACCTGTAAAAATACATCATCATTAGTCCCCACAGAATACATCAGGATGGTACTGTTGTTTTATGGGGCCAAAAAAAATACATATAGGTTGGAAAATCAAACCCCCATAAAAGTCCTTCACTAACTCAATATAAGAATGACAGATCAAAACACCATACTGCTCCTCCTTAGAACAAAGTACGGTAGAGTTGGGACAGATGCAGAATTGTTAATATAATCAATAGGCATTGAACTAGACAGATGAGAATCCTACAGCAAATGCTCAGTTACCTCGTCCCTGTTCCTATAAGAGAGCAGACTCATTCCATAATTACTTCAGGGAGAACTGCAAATATAGATAAGAAAAATATTATTCTTAATGATTGCTTAATATTCATATGTCTGGATGAAAAATGTAACAGTCATATAGTTTGAATCACCACTTTCTCAGCTTCTATGAGGCATAAAAACTTTTGAGCAAACACAAATGTTTTAAGCCAGTATAGCAAGTTTAAAGATGGTAGTTTAAGGTGAGCACATCTGAGGACATCTCCAGCTCGTAGACAAACAGAAATGCATCTCATCAAGATGAAATTAGGAAACTGGTACATTAATGATTTGAGTACAGTGATAGTTTTATTCATAGAAAACTAGGACTGTTACCAGGGCTTTCATATTCTGTGGGGCCTACATACCTCTGCTGCCCCCTAAGGGGAGAGTGAGATGAAGAAAAGAAAAACCAGAAAAGTAAATTCAACTATTTATCCAAAATTTAGCCTATACCCTTGGCTGTCTGGGGCAACAATGTTCCCCCACTTCTTCAAAAAAGTGCAGCAAATACTCATTCTGTCTAAAAGAATTAGTTTTTAACATGGATCAAAAATAAGTAGCAGTAGCCTACAGGTAAAGGATGATATTTATTTATTACTGACATCTGACTGCATCAGGGGTCTGTGCATCTCAAAGAAGCAGGTTCATTTCTCCCACTAATAGGCTCTATGCACAGCTCCACTACTTCCTTAACTTCAGCAGCTCCTTTGTTTCCCGTCTTCCACAGGTGTGTCTGGCCATATGTTACTGACGGCAGGCACACCGGGATTACTCAGTTTGGAAGTTGGTTATTTTTAGATGAGGTACTGGGGTTATTCTGGTCTAATCTTATCATACATATCATAATAATAATGAATATTATTATTAATTATAATAATTATTATTTAAATCCAGTGGTGGAATGGAGTACTCGCCAGTAGTACTTGAGGAAAATTATTAATACTAGTACTGTAATCAAATCTGACTTACTTCAAGTTAATTGGTCAAATATCTACTCAAGTTAAAATATTGGAGTACTCACTTTGGAAATGCTTAAGTATTCAAAAGTATATGTATTTAAAATTATTTGTTTATTCAAAAAAATAGTTTTTTTGAATATTAGTACATTTCTGTATAATTTTCAGAGTAACTTTAAAGAACCTTGTAACTTTCAAAAACCACATGATGCAATAAAGCATAAAACCACCTGCTACAGATTCTAAAACACCTGTAAAGAACTTCAGCATATAAATCCCTCCAAAAAATAAGGACAGCTATTTTATTATTATTTATTTACTATGTTATTATTTGTAATAATTATTTATATAATGTTATTTAAAAAAAAAAAAAGAAAAGAAAACAGGAGTGTCGATTCTACTCACACTTTCACCATGAAATAGAGGTTTGAGATTGATTTTATTACCACCAAGAAACTGCTACTGTGCTTTTAGACCTCATCCTATTGAACAACTTGGCCACATGGCAACAACTAACAACTGAACAAAATGTATAAACTACAGAAAATATCTGTCGAGTTTCTCACATGTGTGGAATTTCATGCAAACCTCTAAACAGTGGTGTCCAAATTCAGTCCTAATGGCTGCTATCTTGCTTGATGAAAAAAAAATACAAGTAAAGATACTCAACAATAGCACTTAAGTAAAGTTAATCAAGTAAATATACTTCACTTTCCACCACTCTTTAAATCATGCTTCTAAACTATGAACTTATATGGGTTTGTAGGCAACAGATTGAGTTTATCTTAAAATATCTTTATTCAAATACAAATAGCCTGTGAGAAATGGAAGGACAGGAAAATGAATGCAACTGTCCCCACTCTCCAGTACAAGCGAGCAAGTTTCAAGATTAAGTTTCTCTCCAAGCAGAAATAACTATTGTTTTACTTTTGTCTCATACTGACTGTTTACAGTTACTCTAACATCCAGTAAATGGAACGACTGTTCTTATTTGGTGTATTTTCTCTTTATGTGCCTAAACAATTGATGTTTAGTTCTATTTTTGTAGATGAGCTACATTATTTGGCTGAAATCTAATATGAATTTATCCAGTAGGTGGCGCCAAATACACAGAACGCTCAATTGAGCGAAACTACCTGCTGCAGACATAATGGGTAAATCATACACAATTTAACAGAATATAAAGTGACCAACTAAAAACAGCCTATATTGAACTGGAGTTCATGTAAAAATTGTATTTATTCCAGTTGAGAAAAAATAAAATCAGACTCTTTGTTTTGTAATTTTTATTGAATTCACATACAGGTGCCATCTGGCAGACAAACTATACAAATCAATTAGTTTTGTTCAGCTAACAAATCCTATGTGCTCCTTTCGTGCTGTTTTGACTTTAATCCAGTTTTTGAGCTGGACTAAGGCTTTAACATCATTTTACGAAAACATTAAGATATCCACTTCTCTCTATGGGATGAAAACATGCAAGGTAAAACTATGTTTAATGAAAATTTCATTTGGCATACTTTTCAAAAAAATCTAAACTTAGAATAAGATGCATGTCCAGATGTCTGATTAATGGAATGTCCTAAAACTAAAATACAGTTGAGGTTCTAATGGAGTCTAACTTTGCTTTGGAGAAAATGAAAGACATAGAGAGAAGCAAGAAGCAACAAGCATGTAAGAAAAGATGCAAGCAAGCGACTAGCAGTTAAAGGTTTACATTTCACAGAGCGGGAAAATAGTTGAATGAAAGTCCTGGGATAAAGTTTGCTAAGTGAAACAAGACCTCATGTGCTCGGTAGCTGATTGTTAGTGAAGCAAAAACACAAATTAAACTCCAGGGATTTTAGGAAGTAGATCAGAAGCACTGCAACCTTAACGACACATGGATACAGCAATCGTTGCACAGAAGAAATCCCCAAAGAAGAAAAAACAGAGATGTTGAAACAAGCCTTTATCATTGGCGTAAGGATGTGCTACATGGAAAGATCCTGGGATAAAACAAACAACCTAGAATTGCATCACCGTTTTAGGATAAAGACCACCGATAAACAAAACAAATAATGGCAACAACAGAACAGGTGATGGAAAACCATATTTATCTGAGAACAGCAGTAATAAAGTGCAACAGAGATATGATCAGATCCACAGAGGGAGGAGGGAGTGCTACAGTGGCTGGGGTAGTGAGTGGAGATGCCTCATCGAGTGGGAACGTCCAGGTGTTTACGCCCCGTCACAGATCACCGTCTCCACCACGAAGGTGTTCTCAAAGTGGCGGATGTGGTGGCAGTCCTTCGCCCCGCGCTTGTTGAGACCTGCGAGGAGGAACGCAAACGGATCAGAAACGTTCTGGTTTTAGATACAGGTTGCTGTTCATCCATACGTACGTCTGCGGTTGATGCGGCGCGCCAGGCGGTACGTATCCTTCCCGTTGCACAGGCGGTAGATGAATGGCCCCAGCTGACGCATGTTGTGCACTTTGCCGCTCACCACCATCTCCTCATGAATGATGTAAGTCTGAGGCAGGTATGTTCCCTTCTGAAAGAAAAACAGAGCAAACATCTCAGGGGAAGACGGTTATCAAGGGGAACACCATCAGGAAAGAAGAGGGATGGTGAGTTTATCTTACAGGTTCTGTTAGCTCACTCTGTGAACAACCTCACTATGAACCCTTTTAGAACAAAGCATCAGACGGGTTCGATAAGCAAATGGCGGATGGATTACCTTGACGTTGATAAGAAGTTCCCAAAGATTGAGAGGAGGCATCACAATAGTGGTGTTTAGCTCAATAACGTAGCATTTGTCCAAAGCAATGTCATGGTAGGCGGTTAATCCCTGAAAAGGTGAAGTAAAATACAAATAAAATTAATTAATTCCAAAATGGCAGGACTGACCTTTTTATCAATTTGATTTTGTGTCAATGTTTTATTAATTTGTTTTTGGTTAGCAACAGATGAAATATGATTGACCTCACTGAGACTTTTCATTCATTCACATCCAAACAAAAAGGCTTATTATGTTAAAAGCCTCGATTTCTGCAGGGCGCCTCTTAAAATTATTGAACCTTTTCACATTTTTATCCATTTAAAAAAAGATAATCACAAATATCAGTATTATTCAGATTTTTTTTGGTACACTTTCTGTCCAGAGGAATCTGTTTGAGTTTATATTAGAAGCTCTTTATTGGTTAGGGGTCTCATCAAGACAAAGTGACCCCTGCAGCGACTACATTAGAAAACAGGCTCCAGAGAGGATACATTTGAAGCAGCCCTTCTGCAGCTTTCAAAATGCTAAACCAGCGACACACTTTGCTCCTTGCACATGCAAGCCAATGCAGCCCTCACTACCTTTACCACATATGTGGTAAAACAAGCAAAAACATCTGAACACTTTGATGTTCTGTTTCCGTGTAGAACATTTGTTTTGGTTTTTTATAACTCACCAATCCACACAACCTCAACCTTCCACTTCTTTGTTCCCCACCCTACCTTCTCTACCTTTGTGGCTGCACCACGTCACTAGGACATCAACATTTCCAACACTGCTCTTGCAAATCACTGCTTGGATGCAACATTAAAATCCCATGCACACATGACATATGGGGACATTGCACTGACTTGCATTTATTTTATATGGGCTAACCCAGACTCTTACCCTAAACCTAACTACTACCAACATATAACTAACCCTAACCCCAACTCAAAGAAGAAAACTTCACCATATGGGGATCGGTTGAATTTCCCCATATGTACCTGTAAGTTCCCACATGTGAAATATTTTACAAAATACTTCCTCCACATTGCAGGTAAAACAAGACAACCCCAACAGTCAGATGCGTAGAAAGGAGATACCCTGTGCTGTACCTAACATTTTCTCACCTTCAAAAAATATGTATATATATATACACAAGTGCCCGTCTGCATAGGCTAAATTATGACGACGGCTCCATCAAAATCTAGATTTGTGGCTGCACCAGGGCACCACCCATGGATTGACTTCAGTATTTCAGTACCTATTATCGGTTTGTCAGCTTTGTCAAGATTATTTTTGTGACTTTGCATGGATGTTACCTAAAGTTGCACGTCACCAGGACATCAACATTTCTAAAACTGCTCTTGCAAATCACTGCTTGGATGCAACATTAAAATCCCATGCACACCGACTTCCAATATACTGTATTCTATCTGGTCTTCTAGATTGTCTAACTGATCTCATTACCTGGTCTAAATGTAGATTTTAGTGTTTGAGACACTCAAAGTAGTGCATAGTTATAAAGGCACGACTGCTATATATCCTACTAAACTTACAGGTCAGAGCAGAAACAGGGAAGCTAATGAAAGTTAAAGAGATGATTGAGGGAAATACTGGAAGAAAACTTGCTAAATACTGTAAAGGCCCAGTACTTAAAGGGAGGTTAAAGGAATAGTACACCCAAAACATGATTAGCCTTCATTTTCTACTCACCCCCATGCTGAATAACACTCTGGAGTACTTTTTTGATATCTCAAATGCATCTGGAGATCTGGGAGGCTTCTTGCTGTCTGCTGACATTCAAATAATGGAGGTCTATGGTGCCCGAGGCAGAAAGGTCCATAAAAGTCCACAAAAAACGTGTCAATATTCCTCCATACTGCTCGTCCAATGTATTCCAAGTGTCCTGAGTGGGTAGCATCCAGAATTTACTCGAAACAAAGTCATTTAGAATGTTTTTAGAGCATAAACAGTAGTGTATAGGATTTCCTGAAAGCGCGCGCCTGTGAGCTCACGACGCTACGGAAACTGCGGCAGACCAAACCAGATGAAAGTGCGCATTCAGCTCGGCAAAGAACTCATGCTCTTCCTCAACACTGAAGTCCTCAGACATTTTTCTTTTGTTGTTTCTTTCTTTGCACAGGTAAACAGCAAATTTCTTCTTCTACGCTTGCATTATCGGCAGAGCAGACGCTGAATGCGCACTTTCATCTGGTTTGGTCTGCCGGCTTCCGTAGCGTCGTGAACGCGCACGCGCGCGCTTTCAGGAAATCCTATACACTACTGTTTATGCTCTAAAAACATTCTAAATGACTTCGTTTCGAGTAAATTCTGGATGCTACCCACTCAGGACACTTGGAATACATTGGACGAGCAGTATGGAGGAATATTGACACGTTTTTTGTGGACTTTTATGGACCTTTCTGCCTCGGGCACCATAGACCTCCATTATTTGAATGTCAGCAGACAGCAAGAAGCCTCCCAGATCTCCAGATGCATTTGAGATATCAAAAAAGTACTCCAGAGTGTTGTTCAGCATGGGGGTGAGTAGAAAATGAAGGCTAATCATGTTTTGGGTGTACTATTCCTTTAATCTCTAGCAAGACAATGAACCATAACATGCAGCACAATGTCAATTGATGGGTTAGATCAACACAAATGGTCCAGTCAAATTCACAAATAGATCCTAAGCTTATGTCTGAACTTTGACTAAAGTTCTGGACTTCAGTCTTGCAGCGGAAAGACTTGCCACAGCAATATGCTGGTGAAGATTTTCAGTCATCCAGGTCACAGTCATTAAGGTTAACAAAGAACCCAACATGCCCTTTCCTAAGGGGCGGACCCATTCTTCCTCTTCAATCTGCATGTTTTCCAAGCCAAAAAAAAAGCTTTGTTTTGCTCCACTCTATAAAGTTAACTGACATTTTGGATTGAAAAAGCTTCCTGGATGGGAAGCAAAACGTCTTCAAACTTGGAAACAAAGTCCAGTGGATTTTTTTTTTATTTTGTTTACTTTTTTGGAAATACCACAGCAAGTCTCTCCTAATCTGTGGTAAGACTTGAGAATTTAAACACTCTGCATCCAGTCTGGCTGTGTTCAAGATTTTTTTGCAAGAAGGAATAAATATGTTTTTTTTTTTATTCAGACGTCTGTCATGATTTTTCAGTCTTTTATAAGTAAACAATGCAAAATCCACACATCAATTTCCTTCCAGTTCAAAATTATGCACCATTTTCTTTTGAGCTGTGACATAAAATCTCAGGAAAATGGAGATTAGGTTTCTAGTATTACATAAGAAAATGTGAAAAAGTTCCCTGAGGGTAAATGTTTTTGCAATACACAGAGTTAGAAAGCAAAAGGCCAATGCAAAGCCGGTAACAAATAAGGATCTTCATGCTATACATGTTTGCCTGCGTCTGTCCTCACCCTGTGGAAATCATGGATTATATCAGCAGGGTCGCTCCCTCCGAAGTGCGGTACGGGGACAGTGATCTTCTCGTAGTTGTCAGAGAGGTAGATGCCAACATTCTCCTCCAGTTCCTGGCGTCCTCGGAGTGGAGCGTACACAGAGTCTTCATAAAGCACCCTGCAGTGAAACAGGTTCTCCTCTGGCATCTGTGCAATGCATTAAAAAATATTAAGATTCAGATCAACAAATTACTTCAGAAAAATTGGTTCTGTAACCTTTCATGGAGGAATTGCAGATCGATAAGGAAGGATCTTACATGAGGTATGAAGTAGTAACGGTAGACATAGATGGAGGCCAGAACCAGACCAGCCATAAAGACCACCAGGCCGAACGTCAGGCAGCAAAGCCCACTGAGGGGGGACTTCTTGGGGCGCAGAGGCAGCACCAGCTCATCCTCATCCTGGAAAAAAACAAAACCAAGAGAGAGAGATTCAATAGAGATTTGTGTCAGATATTCAATTTCAGCCAATTCAGATTTCTCCATAAGAAATCAATTTTTTCTTGTCCTACTTTGTGGATTCAATCATCATTACTATTAAAAGGGCCATAGAAGCACGGTAAGGCAGGCGGGGGGAAGCATACCATCACCCGGTCGGGTTCGGTCGCTCCGTCCCCCGTCAATGGGGTTTGAACTTCTCTGTACATCCATTTCAACCACTGAACGTTACTCATCAATCACAATGTAAACTCAGTTTTGCATTCTATGACCCCTTTAAAGGCGAAATTTCAGTCATTTCCAACCATTTTTATCCCCTAAACCTGCAAAAACTCTAAAGCAAACCTTTACCGGGGAACACCCAACCCTAAACTCCAGTCAGACCTTAGTCTTAAACCTGTCAGAAAAACAGGAAATGAGGACCAGCAAAATGTCCTCCATGACACCTTGCAGTGGTATCAAACAGGAGCACACACACACACAGCTTTGTTTTCATGACATATGGGGACATTTCACTGACTTGCATTTATTTTATATGGGATAACCACAGGGTTTATACAGGAATGAATAACTCTAACTTAATGCTTTTTAATGCTCTTAGAAATAATTTTAATGCCACCAACAGGCACCCGTCGACAGGCTGCAGCCATGTCCCAAATTCCTCGTTTTCCAGCCAGTTTTGTTGAAATTTTTTTTTTCCCCCCATTCTCTAGTTTTTTTCTCTGACTCAAGCTTCTTTTCTGAACATACAGCTTTGAGATCAACCGGAAGCAGTTCCACACAAATATATCGTGATATAATGTCTGACGAAATTAAAAAAAATTTTTAATAAAGCATTTTAAATACCACAATAAACACATCTAATTCATTTTAATGCCAATTAAGACCTTAATTAAAAAATTATAATTTAATTACTTTTAATGACCCACGGAGACCCTGAACCCAGACTCTTACCCTAAGCCTAACTACTACCAACATATAACTAACCCTAACCCCAACTCAAAGAAGAAAACTTCACCTTATCTTTTGAATGTCCCCATATGTTCCTGTAAGTTCCCGCATGTGAAATATTTTACAAAGTACTTCCTCCACATTGTAGGTAAAACAAGACAACCCCCACAGTCAGACGTGTAGAAAGGAGACACCCTGTGCTGTACCTAACATTTCCTCACCTTCAAAAAAAATAAAAATAAAAAATACAGGTAATCATCTGCAAAGGCTAAATTATGACGATGGCTCCATCAAAATCTAGATTCTTTAAAAAGTTCTGAGATTTTTAATTGGGTTTCATCTTTACCAAAACCAGCATTTATGTTGGACTGAGATTGAAATTTTAAAGAACTAAACCCAAAGAAAAGTTGCTGTGATTTTTAGCTAACATCCAATCTAATAAAGTCTGCTTTGGGCCAATTTGTTTCCTCACTTAACCAAAAGTTCTAAAGTTGGATAGAACTATAAAGTTGCACTGAGTCAATTTTCTCTTTGTTGAATCTGACAAAGCTGGGAACAAAACCACTGACATTAAAAGAGGAGTAAAACAACCAGCACCCCCTAAGGTTGTAGCAGCCAACATGTTAAAGCTGATAAACCTCCATAGAAAATGAACTTGAAGTATTTCTGCTTTAGTTCCTATCATGGCGTTTGAATGGATGAGAGTTCTGCAGGTGCAGAAACCTGCCTGGTAAGTCGGGATCTTTTTCACAAATGAAAATATTTAACTTGGTGACTGTGGAAAATCCAGACTTGTAAAAACAATGTTGGGTTTTTTCTTGTCTTGAAGAAGAACTGAACTTCCGAACTGCTAAGGCTCTATGATATTAGGAGTTATTAATGGTGATATTACTACCAAAAAAATTTAAGAACTGATTTCAGTTATTTTTCACCTCTTTCTCAGCTGCTATTGTGATGCTTCCACTTTTCTTTGAGACCTTTAGCATCGACCTCATCATCGTATTTGTTAGGTTTGGGTTTTCTACTGTGGGACTTCTTGAAACACCAAGGTCGTTAAAAATAATATTCCAGTTGTTTTACAGGATTACATTGTGATTAGGATATTATTACAAATTGTAAAGCAGGCGGAAACTTCACTTATGATCTTCTCAGTCTCTAAAGATGTTTTGGTTGAAAGTGGCAGCAAATGGTGAAGTCCAACATAAGAAGGACAAACAATTTCTCATGTCACTTTGCACAAAACATGATAAAGAAAACAATTCAACACAGATCTGTCAAGCAAGCTCTGGCATTTGAACAATGTACCATGATCTGCCTTAGAGTGGATTTTTTCCTTACTTTCTAATCATTTATTTTTCTCTTTGGCTGTTTTGAAATAAAAATCTTAAGATTATACAACTTTGGTGTACCTCAGGGTACTGCTTTATGGCTCTTTTTTTCCCCTTCTGAAAATCTTGAGCACTTTCAAAGAAAAAACGTAGACTTGCAGTAGTGCAGCATGTGAAGGCAGAGAAGTTTCAGTGAAGACCACCTCGATTTAAATTGGGGGTGAAACTTTCCATCTCCTGCCTTTTTTATCTTATAGCAGACTAGTTACTCTGTGGTCCTACTCAGTTGAGGTCCAACTGTTATGTTAGTTTTACATCCTGCCTCTATCCCCATTTGCTTTTTTTTCATTATATTTTATGGTTTAATTAATGTAAAGCAATCTGAATTGTCCTTTTACTGAAATGTGCTCAACAAATAAACTTTCCTTGCCTTGCTCTCTGTTAACAAACATTTTATTGAAATACATACACAAGAAAAAAGAAATGTGTAACATTACAATTTATAAACTACTTGAGTTCTGCTTAGTAAAAGTGGAGCCTGTAGAACAAGCTGTATTTTCTATTTCTTAGCATGTAAATAAATTGATGTGATTTTAGGAGTTTTTTATGTAAATAATATTAGCAGACATCGTTTTCAGGGCTTATAGAAAATCCTTTTAAGCTTAACATGAAGAATATTCTGTATCAGATATTCCACTGGCTGCATGCAGAAGTATAGATGATTGTTATTGCTATAGTCTGTGCTGTTGGTTTCATTTCGAAGTTACATGGAGGTTTGCACTCATGCAAGTGGTCAGAATTTATCATTAAAGAGAACATTTGTTTCTCAAGCATCTTTTGCACTCAAATAGTAAATTATATTTTAAAGATTTAGTCACTGGTTAGAAAGATAACTGGTTTACTGTGAGCTGTATGGTAATCCATCAGGGTAGCCTGCTTTTATATCAAACTTTATTTATAAAGCACCTCACACACACAGAAACTAAAGTGCTTTGCAAAAAGATTTGCAAAAAACACAAATATAAACACCAAAGAATTAATTAAAATTTATTAAATATAGGAAAATAACCAGATAAAAAACAGCTTAAAAGCAAACATCAACATCCTTTTTAGTGCTAAAACTCAAGAACAGATTTTAATCTTTTAAAGAGATTTTATATGGTCAAAGACAAAGCATGTCTGACATGCAGGAGACAATTTAATTGTAATTAAAATCAACTAACACCTAAATAAAGTGCTTTACAGTTATCCAGGCGAATGGTCAGAAAGGAATGAAAGTGTTCTTTGCTTAACATGGATGTTATTTTGCTGCTAAAAGTAAAAAGAAAAAAAAAAAGATTTAAGAGCAGCTTTTATCTGGCTGCCGAAGATAAGATGGTTTTCCATTTTTAAAACACGTTTGATAGTTGTGATAATCCGGGTTTAAAGGCAGGCTCTCTGATGTGCAACAGCATCAAAACACAAAAAGTTTAAAGCCATCAATGCCTTCACGTTATCCAGCATTTCAGAACAGATCTGACAGTTTGAATTTCACCTTAGTGGCACATAGATCTGGCTATCATTGGCATAAAGTAAATCGGATACTGGGATCATTTTTTTTTTCTCCAAAGAATGGATTCAATTAGGAGCAGCCATTTAAAATGGCCCTTCCCAGCCAAACGGCAGGAAACTGCCACTGGAGTGATGCCCTCATTCTCCTGGAGGAAGGACTCCACCCTTCCATTGAGAGACGGGGTCTGACCAGGAGAAGATGCTTCTCTTTAGATCTTAATGTCCACAAATCATGACAGAAAGAATATTTTAGTACAAAGATTGATGTTTAAAAAGGGAATCTTAGGGGACCAGCCAAGGGCTCATCATGGAAAGTGGGGAAATTTTGAATGGGTAATACTGTAGGGAATAAAAAGAAGGATGACTAAAACTGAACCGTGAGAAATACAAAGTGTTGGATCACTCAGGTAGGTCTTGGAAAAATAAGAATGAAGAATTTAGTGACTGACTGTTTCAAAGGCTGCAATTAAATCTAAAAAGAAAAGAAGACAGGCGACAGAGTCTAGAGGTGAAAACATATCGATGAAAACTTATACAAGTGCAGAGTCTGATCTGTGCAAAGATTTAAAACAAGACTGGAAAATTTCAAAAACCTTATTTACTAAAAGAAAGTCCTCTAACTACATTTCCACAATCTCAAGAATTTTAGACACGAAGAACGCTTTTGAAATGGCTCTAAAATGGACTGCTTTTTCCACATCAGGTTTTTAAACAAAGGCTGAACTCCAGTTTCTTTAAAATGTCCCGGGACCGCTCCTAAAGATGAGCTGCTGTTGATACTTTGGTAACATTTAGACTTTATTAATCTAGTCTTCAGCTGAGCTACAGTTTCGCTAACTGTGTAAAACCAAGAGCTGAACTGGTTCTGGTTAAAAACAAGAGAACATAGGAAAAAACAGAGGACATAAGGCTGTATGATGCAGATTATATTTTATCATTAATGTAAATTAGAGATGAGTAAACAAAAAACATCACATGCCTAATGTGTTAGCAGCAGAGCAGATCTCTGAAACACTCCTTTTAGTCCTGTTTAAACTGATGTTTTACTTTTAGTTCTACATTTCAGTGTTCTTATCTTTAATGTTCAAGTTTTCCTCTGAACAGAACTTTAATCATTGTCTTTATAAGTAGCATTTAAATATATTTTACTTGCTTCTATTGCTTTATAGAAGCAGTACTTGCTTACACTGGACAAACAATCTAGAAAGAAGTAAACGTTTATTAAATTAGGTGTATTTACCCTTAATTTGAGTAGGTAAATGAGATAGTTTGCCAATGGAATTATTATTTTTACTCTTAAAATAAGATAAATTTTTCTTGTTTCATTGGCAAAATGTCTGTCTTACTTCCTCAATCCAAGAACAAATGCACTTATTTTAAGAAAAAATTACTTATCTAGATCTCGATTTTTTTTCCAGTGCATTTGCTCAAGCTGTATCACCCTCTCAGATCATGTTTGTTTTTTTGCTGGTTTTGTACTCTTAATTTAGGGATCTGCAACCTTTCTAATTCAAAGAGGCACATTTTTCCACCAAGGCTACAAAATATATTTTTGTCAAGAGCCATAATAAACACTCAATAATAAGCCTCTGGAATTATACTAAGAATTTTTCTTACTCTTTTCAGAATCTAAAATAAAAAGCATAGATAGAATAAAAGAGGTATTGTAGATATTTTATGCAGATATTGTATGAAAACATACAGGATGCCCTCCTACCTCCTTAATTAAAATAATTTAATCGGTTTTATCACAGCAAAGGAACCCAAGAGCCACATGTGGTCTTGGAATCGCAGGTAGCAGAACCGCTTTATTGGATGTAATTAATACTGAAAAATGCTGATATTAAATGTTTTTTTTTTTGGTCTAAACCTCCAAAATTGTATTGTGGTATTTTTGACCTCTGATCCTTTACAGTAAACTGTTTTGGAGACGGTGTACATTTGAGTTTATGACAGCGTCGTCACTGAACAGGAAGAAAACTCATCAAATACCTCTAACAAAACTAATTCCTTCTTGTTGTATCTTTAAACACATATATCCACTTACAAACGGAGGAACAAGAAAAGAGCTTCCAGGCAGCATCCTTTCAGCCCACTCATCTCCGCTATGAAGAGGCAGTGAAACTAATCAGAATCAAACAACGGCTAAAACAGAAACCCACATGAAAAGGAAATGCTGCATTTCAAGCAGAAATAATCAGGCATGGCTCCATTCAGATAAAGGGCCGATGTCAAGCCTGCTGATGAAAACACAGACAGGGATGGTGGTGAGTAATCTGCAGAAGCCGCCTCCAGTCTCACGGCCCATCTGCTGGTGCCACGCGCCCCAACCTGTGTGGGCAGAGTGGCACTATACGCTTCAAGAGGGCCTTCCACTTTACAACAACCTGAAAGTGGTTTGGAGCTTATTTTGGAAATACTGCTGAGAGACTGAGGAGAGTAAAGAACTAAAGGCTGCTATTCTTAGTCTGGATATGAGGCGAAAAAAATAAATAAACAGACAGCTGTTAGAGGAACCTTTAAAATAGACGGGAAAAAAGAAAAACCAGGGTGAGTTTTATTTTATTTTCCAAAGGAAAAACAAAAGGCTTAAAAAGGAGAGTGTTTGCTAGACATGGTGAAGCATCTTCCATCGAGCTGAAGTTCAAATCTCCTGCTGCTCAAGAAAGCATTTGGAGGCAGGACACAACAGAACAGTGCATGTGTGAAAAACACTTCTCTTTGGGTTCTTTGTGTTCTGTCGTCCCACTGATGGAGGATAGAGGCTCTTTCACACCAGCTGACAGCGTGACACACCATGAGGCCCGTCCATCCTGGGTACAAATACTTTTGGAACATCACAAAAGGAAATTGCATAAAAATCACCTCCTTGCTGGAGATGATTTCTACCTGGAAGTTGACGGTCTTTAAATGCTTTCAAGTTGAAAGTGAAAGAATCTGAAGCAGCCTCCATTATCTGTAATTGTTTTACTTGATATGTTTTTTTATGTACCTGCCATTTAATTTAATGCATCTCTGTTTATTATGCAACTTTGCTGCTTCTTGGCCCCGACTCCCTTGAAAAAAATGTTTTTAATCTCTAGGATTATATTCCTGGTTAAATAAAATTTAAATTCCTTCAGTCAGATCCAGATTTGAAGCATGCTTAAGGTGTTTGCATACATTCTCTTCCATTGCAGACCATCATCTTCAGCACTCTGTATCATTGATGCAGGGGTGCTGCTACAGCAAAGTTCAGGACTGCCTGCTTTGCCAACTGTGACAAATTATTCTGCGTGCACTGCAAGACTCTGCATCCCATCTGCCATTTTGTTAGCTGAAGCAATTTTATCTTCAACTTTCCCCTCTATGAAGGGATCAGGTTTGCACATTAAACATGAAGGGGGGGCAAGGCCCTATCGCGTCTGAGCAGAGGAAGGAATGTAGCCTACTCTTTTTTTTATAATGAAGCTAAATTTAGACTAAATCATGCATCTGCAAAACCTAGAAACCTGCACGATGCAAGCAATTCCACAGAAGTAATTCTGCTTCTTAAATGTCGATTCATGCAAATAAATAAATAAATAAATCTAGAAATAGATGCGCAGGTGCAGGCTGTTTTGCGCACCAGCTGCAGGCTGCACAAAGCGGCCATCGCGCAACCGAAGTAATGAAAGGACAAGGTGTCCATGTAAAATAGGTCATTAGATAACGCTAAAAAAAAATAAAAACTAAGGTTCTAACAACAATAGAGTCTCACCGTCGGACGGGGGATGAGGATCTCCGTCTTATCGCCGTCATTGTCCCCTTTCTGTCCCGCCACAGGCTGGAAGCTGATCTTCACCATGGCGCAGGTGTCTTCCTCACCTCCTGCTCTGAAGGTGCCTCTGATGCGTAAATTGGAGCCGTCCTCCCAAACCAGCGTCTGCAGGGCCGCCCTCTCTTCACCGTTCAGCTGTTTTTCTCTCCCTCCACCGGAAGTCAGAGGGCTTGATTTTTTTTTTTTTCTCCTCCAACAAATGATGTTCTTAAAGGACCAGTCCGGAGATTTTTCTTTGTTTTGGGTTTTATATCTGCGCCCTAAAACTGAACCCAACTTAAAATAAATAAAAGCTCAAATATTAATCATTTACTAAAAGGTTTTATTTTCTACATGGTTTAAGTAAAAGCGTAATTGTAGGTATCAGTCATCACATAACGGGGCATTAGTCAGACCCTGTGAAATGGGTCACATAGGAAATCTATCTGCTCCAAAGACACCGCTTTAAAACGCCTGTCAGGCTGCCAGAGTTTCCATCATTTACAATCTGATCGGATTTCTGAAAGGGGATTTTTACTGTCCTCAGAAAGACCAACAATAATCCCACATTTTATGACCAACCAGGAATCTCTTTTGTTTCAATGTGAAGACAAAGAAGACATTAGAGAGGAAATGTAGACTTGCCTTCCAAATCATATCTATTGATAAATATTACTTTCACATCTCATATCTCAAAGTTCTGACTTTAATCTCAGAGTTCTGACTTTTTTTCCTTCAGACTTCTGACTTTAATCTCAGCATTCTGACTTTAATCTGAGTTCTGACTATAATCTCATAATTTTGACTGTAATCTCAGATTTCTGACTTTAATCTCAGCATTCTGACTTTAATCTCAGATCTGACTATAATCTCATAATTTTGACTGTAATCTCAGATTTCTGACTTTAATCTCAGCATTCTGACTTTAATCTC